CTCTCTCTCTCTCTCTCTCTCTCTCTCTCTCTCTCTCTCTCTCTCTCTCTCTCTCTCTCTCTCTCTCTCTCTCTCTCTCTCTCTCTCTGTGCTCTGTGCTCTGTGTTGTCGCCTGGGTATCATTTGTCTCTGTCTTTTGTCCTCGCTCTGTCCCGTCTCTAGCATGGCTGTTTCACTTTCATTTGCAGTGCTCAGAAACCGCTGTGAGAAAGAAGAAACAGCCCTCATACCCTCCTCCATCACCTCTCGATGGTGCATCAATGTCCTTGGTAGTGTGCCTCTGGTGACACATCAATTGCCATTCCTTTCCTCGTTGTTTCCACGCACGCGTCTACCATCTCTGAATACACTGCATCTCACTGAACATTCTCCTAGACCAAGTCTGCAGTGGCCTCTGCAGCTTGAACGAAACAGGGGCGATCCAAGAAAGGAAATTAACCGGGGATGTCTGTACCACGTCGCTTATTGAACCCTTTCCTCAGAAGAGAGAACGAGCTGTGCTGAAGAAAGGCGTTTTCAGGTGACCCATTTCTGGGGGTCAAAAGTCGCTGTCTAGGTCCAGGAGTGGTCTAAAACGTTCCTTAGGTCAAAAGTGCACCCAGAGCCTGGAAAAGTCCCAACAGGCCGGAGGGAAGTCAACAGTCAGGCCCAACCCGGGCACTGTAGATCAGGAGTCACCCAGAAGTCACCTTGACCACAGATCACACACAACCCCACGGCACCGTAATGTTTCCAGAAATTTCCAGGCTCACTGGGGCTAGTCACACGCAGGCCACAACCAAATCCTGACAACACAGATGAAGAAAATCTCAGCTGTTCGAGGAGGCAACCTGGGTCAGGCGAAGGCTCACACTCTGAAGGAGATTACCTAGCACCCAGTGAAAGTCGAGAGACAGGGCAGCAGCGATAGGTAGTGAGTGTTGTCTGTAGAGTAGAGGGGGCACTGCCTCCATAGCTGTAGACGAGAGAGTGAGAGCGAGGACGAAGTATTCTAAGTGGGATCTCTCATGTGGAGAGAGAGTAGTCTTCTGGCTGATGCTCTTCACAGTTTTGAGTTCTATGCTGCTCTAGATATCTTGTATTGTCATTTTCAGGCTTGATTGAGCTTGGCTTGCCTTGAATAGGCAGCGCCAGAAACTGGAGAGAGGGGCAGAGCGGCGTTGTGATCAGAGAAGCAAGACAGAAGAAGTGTTGGGCATTGAAGAGGTAGAAGTTTGACATTGAATAACAATCAAGTTATTATTCTTCTGTCCATCATCTTCATCTCTCCTCCATCATCTTCTTGCTTCCTTAGTATCATGTGTGAGTTGCATGCGAGCATTCTGTTTGGTAATTGAGCATTGAGTGTTACGGACTCAGCCAGGGCTCGATCCCTGGTCCGAGGGTTACCAACTGCCAGGCTGCTATTTCATTTTCGAGTCTCTGATCTCCGGTTCTTGACTGTTGGCGCCGTCTGCAGTTGGCGCCCGTTCTCAAATCCCTCCTCTGGCACTTCCGGATTTCGATACTTGGTGCCATCCGGCATTCTGACGCCCAGGCTCAGACCTTCGATTTTGAGTTCAGCCCCGAGGCAAACTGCACTTCTGCCCTCAGGACTCAACTTGAGTCCGGTACTTGATACCGAACTCAAGCTGAGTTCGGGCATTCAGTTTTCAGCCTCAGTGCTTGTCTTCAGTGTGACTTGCTGCGACATTGTGTTCGGAATCCAAGATTGCGACTTTGCGACGTTGCCACTTTGTGTCTGCGTCCGTCGAGTCGTGTCGAGTCTGCGTTGAGTTGAGTGAGCGTGTGTGTGTGCTCTCACTCTCTCTCTCTCTCTCCCAGTCTCGCTGCTCTGCCTCAGCCCCGTCACACTGGTATCGGAGCGGCAAGCGGCCCTCCCTCTGTCCCTGTTCCAGCGCTGCCACGTCATCGACATCGTCACCATTATCATCGTCTCCAGCGCTGCCACGTCATCACCGTCGTTGTCATCTTCGTCGTCGTCATCACTGCCACTTCAGCGCCTCGTACCTGCCGTCGTCGCGCCACACCAGCAACTCCTCGTCCTCATCGTCGCTGCCACATCATCGATCTCGAAGTTGACGCGCAGATAAGTGACCGCCAATTTTTATTTTTTTTCCCCTCTGCCTCTCTGCTCTTCTCTTCTTACCTCCTCTCTTCTTTCATTTCTTCTCCTCCCTCCTTTTTCCTCGCTTCCACCTCACATTGTTCTTCTTCCTCCTCGTCGTCGCCGTTGTCGTCGTCGTCGTCGTCGCTATTTTTTCTTCCTTCTTCCTCTTCTTCTTGTTCGACGATTCTCATTCTTCCTCCCCCCCCTCTTCTCTTTTCCAACCTCTCCCCCCTCTGATTCTTTCTCCCTCCCGGGACTTCGCGACCACCGCGCCATCTTTTTCCCCCCCCCACGCACCGGTTCCCCCTCACGC